TCCTTCTTTGGGTTCTGAGAAACAGATGGGGATTGTCTCTTCCCGTGTCTTCACAGCTCTGTGAGCTACAGCCCTGTAACTTTTCATTTTTATTTTTTGCCAGAGCCCATCTGAAAAGAGTTTTATGTTAAAAGTGAGAAACAAGAACATTCAGATGGTTTATTACAGGAAGAGTTTTTACAGGGCTTTGCTTTCAGTGAGCTGTTATGTGACAAAGCAAATTGATGGCAGTGATAGGCTGGTGACGTCACTGTGATGTCAGTGCTCCTACTTATCTTACACATGCTTGCTAGTTTGGAACACTTTATTTTGGACTGTGGTAGGGCCGACAAGACCACTCTGTATGCAAAAGCCCAACATGGCTGTAACTGGAGATGAAACTGGTAAGGACTTAAAGGGGCATTTACATTAATTTTGTTTTGTTTTAATATAGGGTTTAGAAATATCTAGGAACTTCTGAGTGTTTTAGAAAGTGTGATTTTTAAAGTTGCTTATGCATAGGAAGTTTGTTTTCTTGCACCTCCGCACATTCAGCCTGCTTTGTTAAGTCATCAGAGTGCGATTGCTTGTTTATAGTGTTATTGTATCTTTGCTCTGAGGCTTTAATGCTCTGTTGACAAAGGCAGTTATCTGCCCGCTCGCCTTACTTTTCTCTTCCCCTTCCTCCATTCGTATTTTACCCTAGTCGTTCTGCCTTACTAAAATAGGCTAATAATTAATCTGCAACCTGTTGGAAATTCAATCCAGCTACCAGTTAAAATATCTGATGTCCATGTTGTAAACACTTGAGCTACTAGGTAGTAGCTAGCTCCGCACCGAATAGGGAAAACAGCGTGCTAAGAATGGATGTTTTTCAGCCTGCTAGTTCTTTCCTCCTGTCTGTAAAAAAATGGTCCGCTCTTCAGCTAATTGAGTTCAAAGGGCTGACGTCATTACATTTCCTGGAATCGTGTTTCAGCGGGGAAGTGGAAAAGTTAAACTCCAAGTGAGCTGCACATTGACGTCAGCTCCGAGTCATGTTGTGATTTAGTCAGTTCCTTTCTGCTTTGTCAAGCTTGGCCGACAGATTGCAAGTTTGTTAACTAGTTCACCACCGTTTCTGGCTGCGGGAACGTCTTCAGACCGAATAGCAAGTCTGACTTTAGTATTTCTCTTGTGGTAAGTTAAGTATCTACCTGAAGGTAGGGACACATCAGGGCACATGTAATGTTTTCATGAGCATAGCTCAGGGCTGTTTGGCAAGCTTAGTGGTAAAGACCTCCCAGCACCTGCTTAGTGACAAGTGGGCTATATTTAGGCCGAGGTTTTGGTGCTTGTTAGCTAGATCCATAGGCAGAGTGCCCTCTAGTGCTTTGGCAGGGACGTGCTTGTCTTTCATTGTTTCCTCAGCCTTTTCTAGTTAAGTTTTGTAATAAGTTCATTAGGTTTTGCTTTTCTTAGTTATAGATAAGTGATTTTGAAATACTGAGTTACAAGTGACCTTTGTGTGGTTTGCGACATTGTATTCAGTTGGATTTATTTGTAACCCATTTTTTAATTTGCAGTTGAATTGAGAATGAAGAGGATTACATGGCTTCCCCACAGTTTAGCTGCCATTGCATTGTTTCTGGGATGGTCTTTAAGTAGCTGTTGTTTTGTCAGATGGCGCTTTTTGTGACGTCTATAGACGTACTGTAGATTGCGGCAGCTCTGGAGCAACTGAGGAGCCCCAAACCAGACACTGTTGTAGTGTGATCCTAAAATCAATGACTGTTTTTGGTGCATGCATTTATTTTACAAAAATTGTTGGTTTGTTTTGTCTAAGCAAACTTTAAATTTCTATTTACTACTTGACTGTTAGAGCAGGAGAGAATATAGTAATACAATAAAATAGAGTAATTAAAGTACCAAGTATATTTAAAGGTGAATAATTAAGGTATGCATTTTTATTAAAATTTTAGCCATTGCTTGTGAATTATATATTCATATACACTTATGTTGATAGAATGAGCATGTCATCTTTGAAGCACTTTCTTCTTATAGTTTGTTTACCATTACTAAGCCACAGTTTCAAATTTCAATTTCAAAAATACTAAAACTTATAAATTTTGAACAATATAGAACATTTCTCATAAGACTCAACTGTAGTTTAGAAATTTTTCTGAATCTGTCACTTTTCTTGGTGACATTTGAAAAAGTGTCATATTGAAAACAATAAATGACATTTATATTCTTTTTATTAATGAACAAAACTGCACCTGGTTGAAAAACATTTTTGGCAGTGTGGCAGAGAGGCTCTTAGCAGTCTTTGTATTCTTGGCTCTGGGATAGTTTGGATTGTTAAATTGAGGAAATTGGTTTAGACCAAGGGCTTAGAAACCTTTGATCACCAGCATTTTATATCACGGTACAGTGACATGTGTGTCTCACTCCGAATTTATATAAAGCAAGTTTCAAACACAAAAGTAACACAAAAGCATAATTATTTTCTATCTAATTTTCTTTTTTTGCTTTAAATGTTAGCTTGACCCATGAAATTGATTTTATGACCCATGGTCTGTAATGTATGCCAGAGATCCAGACTCAAATCAGGCTTCTTATCTTGATACTGCCCTAGAAAAGATCTTTATGGCATCTCTAGTAGGATCATGGAATCAAATAAAAGAATGACATTGTTAATTCTGCTTGGTGAAATGTAAATTTGTATTGTCTTTTTTTTGGTTTTATTTGTAATTGATTATATTTGGAGCTGAGTTCACTGTTTTAAGACCTGGATTAAAGTTAAAACAAACTTTAGATTTGGAAAATAGTATCCTAGTATTTGATGTAGGAGAACAGAGATACATTCCACTTTTGTGATTTCTCTTAGGAAAATTTAACATAAAGGGATGGTTTTGATTAGGGGTTAACTTTTTAAGTTGATATTAAAGCAAATTATACTTGTATTGGAAGTAGATAGAAGAATAACCTGCTGTGAGTTAAATAAGGCCTCAAATCTCAGAGGACAGTGTCATGCTGTCTCCACTGGCGAGTGTGTCTTAATGCAGTGTTGGTTATTTTACTTTTTCTTATCTTGTTTTCTATCTGAACATATTGTCTGATAAAGTAACTAGGTCAACACTTTTGCATTTATGTAAATATGTATAAAAATACTACAAGTAAGCATAAATACAAATTAATAAAAGAGCTAGCAAAGTACTCAGATTATTGTAAAGAAGACACAGAAGAAAGGAAATAGAGGTTGAAGCCCTGGAGACCCACCTAGAGGAAGCCATATGAAACACTGGACAAGGAGAGGAGCTTTCCATTCATGCTCACCGATTACACAGGGAACACACTACTGCACAGACAGTGGTATGACTGAATGCAGATCAGAGTAGGCAGGGACTCTTCTGAGTTACAAAGCTAGCAAGCAGTGAAGCAGCTCAGATCATCAGAAACCTCTGATTGTGCTCATAGTGTACTATGCTGCTCTCATGACACTGATAGTAAATGCTAATGTAGCATGGATCATAATAGCATGCAAGACATAGTTTTTACAATGTATAAAGTGAAGCTAGCAACACTTTTAAGTAATCAAAATGGAGTTTTTTCCTAGACTACTCTTCTGATAAGGCAGTAGGGTATTTGTCTTTCTATAGAACCTTAAACTTTCATTCATAATTTCCTGTATTTTTCATAGATATCCTAACTTTTAAGACTTTCATTAAAAAAACAATCTAAGAAGCCCTTTTATGTGTATCTTGGGTTGCGAATATTAATTATTTCATATTATATATAACTACATCAAAGTATCATTTGTATACCTTTGATTATACACATACATATATATATAAAATTTTAATTTGTTAACTATACCTCAATAAATAAATAAAAACTGAAAATATTTATTTAAAATTTATTTATTATTAATATGTATATGTGCAGGTGTGTGCATGCGTGTGTATGTGTGTGTGTGTGTGTGTGTGTGTGTGTGCATGTGCAGCTCATGCCATGACATGCATGTGGATGTCAGAGGACAGATTTGAGGCATTGATTCTCTTCCCTCCTGTGTTCCAAGGGATCAAAGTTAGGTTTTCAGGTTTGTATGACAAGCACTTTTATACCTTGAGCTGTTTTTCTGGCCTTAAACAGGAAACATTTAATGACTTAATTCTGTATAGGACTTTAAATACAGTTGAAAATTCTCACTGCTTGCTAGTCACCTTTATGTGATTTCATTTACATGGAGAAGAAGGGGCAGTGGGAAGGGAAACTTTGTGAGAGAATGGGACACAAGGCGTGGAGAAGCCTGCTGTGGAGCTAGAAGCATTGGTGTGCTGTTTGAGAGATAGAAAATTGGGGGAGGGATAAGGAAGATGCCAACAGGTTTTTGGAGCATTGGGAAAGCAACTCTCCTCAGTTACAAGAATGACTGCTGAGTCCCCCCCTACTGTGTACTATTCTTATGATCAGTGAAATGGTATAAAGGTGGGAGTTGTGTAGGTGTGGTGGCTTATGTCTGTGATCCCAGTACTCTGGAAGCTGGGGTAGAAAGATTGTGAGTTCAAGGTCCTGTCCCAAAGCACCAAAGCAAACCAACAAAGCCCCTTGTACTCAGTCAATATGCACCCGATAATAAATAATTACATAAAATAACAATCCTTTCGGGGTATTCACAAGTAGTTTCCTTTTAAAAGCTATCAAAACAGGCATTTGGGATGTTTGTTACTCATCTCTTTGTTTCTGTATCTGACTTGTTTTCCCTAAGAACTAGGAATCATACACTTTGACTTATCAGACTTGTTAGAAGGGGAAATTCTAATGGGAAAAATTATTGGTGGTGTTATAAACCTTTTAGCTACTTATAGTATAAGTATATGTTATTTGGAACACTGTATTTCAGACATCAAGGGAGGGGATTGGAAGGGAACTAATGTATTAAATGTCTTCTGTGTGCCAGGCACTGTGCTAGACACTTTGACATATATTACAGGGTTTCTTGTGAGTTTGAAATGAGATGATGTATCCCCATTTTACAGATGAGGAGACTGACCTTGCCCCAAGTCACATGGCTGGTAAGTGGCAGAGCTGGACTAGAACCCAGACCCCAAATCCAATGCCTTTTCTGCTGTACCGTGTTAGAGCTTGAAAAAAGAGAGGTATGAAGTTCATGATCAGAATTGACAGCCCCAGGACTTGTTTTTCATGCAGGAGTTAAATGGTTAGAAAACACACTATCAGAATCCCTGCCTCTAAGCTGCCATGTTAGTTATATCTAAAGCGTATTAAGGAAGAACAATGTCTTTTGTCAAGAAATGCCAGATTGAATGAACATGTGCCATCTCATGGGACTTTATCTGTGTTAAAGACAGTTACAATAACATGTCCACAGAAGAATGCGTATTAAACACTCAGATGACAGCATGCCTGTGCAATCCCCTAGGGAGTTTAAAATTGACTTTGTAGAGGGCACCTCAGCCCATGAAGCACCTTTCATACAAAGTCCTGTGCTAGATTCCAGAGCATAAAGTGAAAAGATACTGTTCTTGACTTGTCTGAACATTCTTGCCTCCCTGAGAATAAACTTGGGGTAAACTATAGCAGTATAAATATATTTTTCTTATTATTATTTTCTTCAGTCATGATTTTTAAGCCCCTATACATGACTTATAAATTCTCAAAAGAGAAATATGAAATTCTAAAGTCAGGTGTGGTAGCATCTTCTTGTAACCCCCAGCACTTAGAAAGCTGAGGCAAGACAATTGAAAGCTTAATGCCAATCTAAGTTACATGGCAAAATCTTCTCTAAAAAAAAAGCCTTACAAAATAGTCTTGATACCTTTAGTACTTAGATGGGCTAGGGATTGGGCTTTATAAATAGTACAGGAATAAAATTATATCCCTAGAGAATGTGGGATGGTTCTTGGAAATCACCACTGAATTTACAATGGTAGAGACTGATGCTAACATAAACAAGCTCTCATAACTTGTTTCAAAGAAATCTGACATTTAGATTACCTCAAAAGATTTTTTCCCATCGTTTTAGTGTACTTTACTAAGATTATATTTGCATATATAGAATTTATCCATTCACCATTAGAAGTGTATCATAGAGTCTTTGGGTTGTGGTAGAAATTTATTTTAGACTCCTAAGCTACACTAATTCCTACTTGCTTGAAGTAGTGAGTTGGCATCCTGGACTTGTGTTATAACAAATAGAATCAATATACAGCCGAGGCACAATGAGGCCACAGTTCTCTGATATGTCCTATATATCATCCCCTGCAGATACAAAGTGACTAAGGTTCTGCCTGACAGGTTTGAAGAATGCCCTATTTGGCATTTTCCTTGACCCTCATGTTACCAAGTCTGGTTCTCCAAGGGCTTCTCTAGCTTCTGCAGACAGACAAAAGGTCTTTTGTTATTGCTTTGCTTTGTTTTTAATATGCATGTCATCTATGACATGTCTCTTTTCTTTTCTTAAAAAAATTGAAAAGAATGCCCTTAAACCAGCTTTCAAACATTCTGTTCTCACTCATACTATAGAGAATAATGATTGTGTACAACCGTGGAGTACGGTGAAACCATTGCTTCCTCCCTTTCCTGCGATCCTCTCCCTCTTAGAAAAGCAGTAGCTATATTTAGGATATGGTAGCAACAGAAGAACCTCTCACTCTCTGCACATTTTTAGTATTGTTTTTACACATTTGTGAGCAGTTTCAAAGAAGGGTTGGAAGCAGATGTGTATTCAAGCTGCCAGCAAGATTCGAGGGCTGAGGTGTGCAAACTTGGTCACTGGCTATTGTGTGGACTTTAGAAAGTCTGGACAGCCACCAGCTGGGACATTGTTTCAGTATTTGCTGATTTACAGCTGGATGTGGGTAAAGGAAAGTGGGAGGACTGTGGCCTCAGTTCCTGTTCTTACCTCTCACTACACAATGACCAATGGATTAAGGAGATTCTATCATGTTAGGTTTTATATGTTGTTTTCTCCTTAAATAGTTAGTTTGCACTTCTTTTTTTAAAAAAAGATTTATTTATTGTATACGAGTACACTATTGCTGTTTCAGACACACCAGAAGAGGGTATTGGATCCCATTACAGATGGTTGTGAGTCACTATGTGGTTGCTGGGAATTGAACTCAGGACCCCTGGAAGAGCAGTTCGTGCTCTTAACCACTGAACCATCTCTCCAGCTCCACAATTTTCACTTCTAATGAGATGTCCTTGTGTATAGCATTGGGAACTGTCATGAAATAAAATTGATGACTTAAGAAGTTGATTTAAGAATGTCACTTTTTTCTTCCCTTTCTTCCTGTTACCATTAACGAATATACAGCCAATTAGATTCCTTCCCTTGCCTTAGCCTTTTTTTTTTTTAAATTTCAGTATTGGATGTCTTTCTATATCTGTTTTAGGTGTAGGCAAATGGAAGTCCCAGCTGAAGCTTCCAGAGGATGGTCATGCCTACTTAGAGTATCCGTGTTGCCTTTACTGGCTTGCTAGAGCCAGTTGTTAAGTTTCAGGACTTTTGTGAGATGGTTGTGAAAATAGCTGTTATTAACAATTATCAGTGTATGTATATGTCCACACACTTAAATAGATTCCATTGAAAGCAGAAGTAGTCCTCAAATACTTATAATTTCAAATAATCTTCAGGTCATTACCATTTGTGAGCATGTCTCTTCTTAGCTTGACACTGAATAAGGTCTTTGAACTTGGTGGAACTTGCTACAGTGCAAGTGTTTTCACTGTGGAAGTCATCAGACTGAAGAGCAGGGATACTTGTTTCTGTCCTAGAAGAACAACTCCTTATAGTTACCAGCACACTGCTAAGACAGGCTAACTGAACTGTAGTAAAAAACCCTTATTGCTTTAGCCTGTGATAAAAAGAGGTCTAAAACAAACTAAGACATTTTCTAAAATGTCAGGAACAGGCTAGAATATTTGTAGCTTTGTTCTAATTTGTCAAATAAAGTTCTTCATGTTTAAGATCCCTATAATACTAAAACAATAATTTTTATCTCTACAAAACAAGTTCTATTGACATGTACAAAGTGTACACCATTTCTAGGTTAATTTTATGTAAAATATTAGTGAATTGGTGATATAAGCTTGTAATGCTTTGTTTCATTGCAGCTGCCACAGGTGACATGCCAACTTACCAGATCCGAGCTCCTACTACCGCTTTGCCACAAGGTGTGGTGATGGCTGCCTCACCAGGAAGTCTGCACAGTCCCCAGCAACTAGCAGAAGAAGCAACTCGCAAGCGGGAGCTGAGGCTGATGAAAAACAGGTAAAGTACTGGGTAATCTAGAGCCACTGTAGGAAACATTTGCTACTGCGGGGCTCTTAGTGTACATTTGTTAAGCTGTTTCTCAGGTTAAGTGTCCTGTGGCTTCTTGTGTGTGCTTATGCTCTGCCCATGATGATAGTTTATCTTCTGGTGAGTTCCTAGCTGCTTCATAACCAGCAGATATGTTCCTTTATGTTGTGAGGAATATCAAAAGATATGTAATTTTTAAAAACAGTATTATTATATTCTTGATAATAAACTTGTTTTATATATTTTGTGAAATAGTTCTGGTAAGTACATTTTACCCCTTAAATTGGTATTATAGATAGAACCTAAGACCTAGGGCATGCCAGGCAAACATTGAGATACATCTCTGACCCTGATTTTTTAGCTTCTTTATTAGGAAAATAAATTTAAGTGTTAAAGCATTGTTTTATATTTTATCATTCTAGCTACTTTGTATTGGTTTTACTCCAGCATAATGAAGTACATGTTCTTTTGATATTTTAGTCATGTATAAATAAAATAACGAAACCTACTCATGCCCCTGCATCTAGCTACTGGCTAATGCTGTAGCAGGAATGCTTGCAGTCCCCTCTCATCTTCTCCCACCTATGTTCTGAGTCTGTCTCTTGATTGCCTCCACTTCTCTCCCTGCTTAGGCACCAGCCTGCCATGTTAAAATCACACTTAAGCAATAACATTTCATTTATACGACTTGCATATTAATTCTTTAGTTATTATGGAGAATGGCACAACTCAGTTTGATTTTCAAAATGATCAGAGTTGCCTTAACTGTTTCCCAATATATTTTGTCACCTATTCTTTAGTGTTAAATTATATCCTAATTGCAAGAAAATAAAGCACATTAGGTGGGGTCAGCTGCTTTGCTTGTGTGTAGAACAGAAACAGACTGTGGTCTTTGACACAGTCTTATTAGATGTTTCCAACATAGTTAATCTACAGATTGTGGCAGTGGAATCCCTGAAACTCAGTTCCGAGATCATCACTGTCTTGGAAACTGGGTCTTGTCTGAGGTGTTTACGTTCACTGCCTTTGTGGTTCTTTAAATGACAGTTTGAGAGCTAGGCGAGGTGAGTCATCAGGTAAGAGCATCTAGTGTCCCTGCAGAGGACCTGAGTTCTCTTTCCAGCAACTATATCTGGTGGCTCACAGGACTTTGTAACTCCATGCTCCCTCTTCTAGAATTCAGAGACACATGCTTGCACACGCGCACACGCACGTGCACACGCACACACACTTAAAAAATAAAAATAAAGACTGGAGAGATGACTTAGCAGTTAAGAGCATTTGCAGTTCTTGCAGAAGACCCAGGTTTGATTCTCAGCTCCTACATGGTGGTTTATAACTTTTCTTTTTTTTAATTGGATATTTTATTTACATTTCAGATGTTATCCCCTTTTCCCATTACCCCCACCCCCACCCAGGAACCTTCTATCCTATTTCCTTTCCTCCTGCTTCTATGAGGGTATGTCCCCCCACCCCCACTCTCATCTCCCTGCCCTTGAATTTCCCCACACCGGGGCATCCAGCCTTCATGGGACCAAGGACCTCCTCTCCCACCTATGCTCCACAAGGCCATCCTCCCCTACATATACAGCTGTAGCCATGAATCCATCCCTATGTGCTCTTAGAATGGTGGTTTAGACCCTGGGAGCCCAGGTTGGTTGATATTGTTGCTCTTCCCATGGGGCCGCAAACCCCTTCAGCTCCTTCAGTCTTCTCTCTAACTCCTCTATTGGGAACCCCTTGATCAGATCAAAGGTTAGCTGTGAGCATCTGCCTCTGAATATGTCAGATTCTTGCAGACCTCTAAGGAGCTAGCTATATCAGGCTCCTGTCAGCATGCACTTCCTGGTATTCACATCAGCATCTACCTTTGGTGACTGCACATGGGATGGATACCCAGATGGAACAGTCTCCAGATGGCCCATCCTTCAGTTTCTGTCCCATACTTTGTCTCCATATTTGCTCCCATGAGCATTTTGTTGCTCCTTTTGAGAAGGACCAAAGCACCCACACTTTAATCTTCCTTCTTCAGGAGATTCATGTGGTCTGTGAGTTGTATCTTGGGTATTACAAGTTTTTGGGCTAATATCCAATTTTCAGTAGTGTATACCATGTGTGTTCTTTTGTGATTGGATTACCTCATCCAGGATGATATTTTCCAGTTCCATCAATTTGCCTAAGAATTTCACAAATTCATTGTTTTTAATAGCTGAGTAATACTCCATTATGTAAATGTACTACATTTTCTGTATCTATTCCTTTGTTGAAGGACATCTGGGTTCTTTCCAGCTTCTGGCTATTATAAATAAGGCTGCTATGAACATAGTGGAGCATATGTCCTTGTTAGATTTTGGAGCATCTTCTGGGTATATGCTCAGGAGTGGTATAGCTGGGTCCTCAGGTAATGCTATGTCCAATTTTCTGAGGAATTGCCAGACTGATTTCCAGAGTGGTTGTACCAGCTTGCAGTCCCACCAACAATGGAGGAATGTACCTCTTTTTCCACATCCTTGCCAGCATCTGCTGTCACCTGATTTTTTTGATCTTAGGCATTCTGACTGGTGTAAGGTGGAATCTCAGGGTTGTGTTGGTTTGCATTTCCCTGATGACTAAGAATATTGAACATTTCTTTAGGTGCTTCTTAGCCATTCTAATTTCCTCAGCTAAGAAATCTTTGTTGCCAAGCAGTGGTGGTGCATGCGTTTAGTCCTAGCACTTGGGAGGCAGAGGCAGGCGGATTTCTGAGTTTGAGGCTAGCCTGGTCTACAGAGTTCCAGGACAGCCAGGGCTACACAGAGAAATCCTGTCTTAAAAAAACAAAACAAAACAAACAAAAAAATAGAACAAAAAAAAAGAAAAAAAAAAGAAAAAAAGAGACTTCTTTGTTTAGCTCTGTACTCCATTTTTAATAGGATTATTAGGTTGTCTGGAGTCTAATTTCTTGAGTTCTTGGTGTATATTAGATATTAACCCTCTATCAGATGTAGGATTGGTAAAGATCTTTTCCCAATCTGTTGGTTGCTGTTTTGTCCTATTGACAGTGTCCTTTGCCTTACAGAAGCTTTGCAATTTTATGAGGTCCCATTTGTCAATTCTTGATCTTAGAGCATAAGCCATTGGTGTTCTGTTCAGGAACTTTTCCCCTGTGCCCAGGTATTTTAGGTTCTTCCCCACCTTCTCTTCTATTAGTTTCAGTGTATCTGGTTTTATGTGGAGGTCCTTTATCCACTTGGACTTGAGCTTTGTACAAGGAGATAAGAATGGATCAATTTTCATTCTTCTACATGCTGACCTCCAGTTGAACCAGTACCATTTGTTGAAAATGCTGTCCTTTTTCCACTTGACGGTTTTAGCTTCTTGTCAAAGATCAAGTGACCATAGGTGTGTGGGTTCATTTCTGGGTTTTCAATTCTGTTCCACTGATCTTCCTGCATGTCTCTGTACCAATACCATGCAGTTTTTTTGACCATTGCTCTATAGTACAGCTTGAGGTCAGGGATGGTGATTCCTCCAGAAGTTCTTTTATTGTTGAGAATAGTTCTTGTTATCCTGGGTTTTTTTGTTATTCCAAATGAATTTCTAAATTGCTCTTTCTATGTTTATGAAAAATTGAGTTGGAATTTTGATGGGAATTGCATTGAATCTGTAGATTGCTTTTTGGCAAGATGGCCATTTTTACTATATTAATCCTGCCAATCCATGAGCATGGGAGATCTTTCCATCTTCTGAGATCTTCAATTTCTTTCTTCAGAGACTTGAAGTTCTGTCATACAGATCTTTGACTTGCTTGGTTAGATTCACACCAAGGTATTTTATATTATTTGTGACTATTGTGAAGGTGTCATTTCCCTAATTTCTTTCTCAGCCTGCTTATCCTTCGAGTAGAGGAAGGCTACTCATTTGTTTGAGTTGATTTTATATCCAGCCACTTTGCTGAAGTTGTTTATCAGGTTTAGGAGTTCTCTGGTGGAGGTTTTGGGGTTTATAACTTCTTGTAACTCAATTTCTCGAGTGATTGATACCCTGTTCTTGCCTCAGTAGACACTAGGCATGCACATGTTGCACATACATAAATCCTTGCAAAACACCTGTATACATAACAATAGGGCTGAGTGTGGTGATTTACACCTTTTATCCCAGCACTTGGGAGGAAGAGACAGATGTTTATAGTGAGTTTGAGGCCAGCCTGGTCTACATATACAGTTCTAGGCAACCCAGCATGACAAAAACAAACAAACAAAACTACAACAAAAACTTTTATAAAAGAAACAAAAATATATCTTTTTTAAAAAAAAATTCAATTTCATATACTGTGTAACTCCTTAAGTTGGTTACGTTTGCCAAACTTATTGCTAGATCAGTAGATGGTGAGTACACATACACTAGAAATCGGATGGTAGAAATAGAAACATTTATCAGTGCTTTGTCTCAGGTCATCGTTTTCTCATCAGCAGTGTTATTGCTTTAAAGATCCAGAAGCAGTGGCTAGAGAGGTGGCTCAGAGGGCAGGAGCATTTGCTGCTCTTCTGAAAGAACCAAGTTTGGTTTCCAGCATATAGGTCAGACTGTTACACGTCTGCATTTCAATTATGTAGTTAATAATTATTGGCATATATGGGAATAGATGCTAAAACATGTAGTCAGATTTTTGATCTTTATGGCAGGTACAGAGGTATGTACAACCAGAACAAAGTTTCCTGGCGTCCCCAGGGAGCCAGGCTCCTTGCTGCCGAATCTTCAGCGTGACCACAGGATGTCTGCTGCTGCTGATGACAGGAAGGGGGAGGATGACTGTGGTCAAAGAATTCAGCTAACTCAGTTTGTTTCTCCAGAAGATTTTTTTCTAGAAGAGGTTTCTAGCTGCCTTTGCCTACATTTCATTGGCTAGAAATAGGTCTCCACTATAAGGGACTCTGAGGAGCATTATTTATCCTGCCAGTGTCAGATTAGAGATAGCTAGAGAAAAGCAGGAACATGAGGCTCTTGGGTGACTCAGCATTAGCTTAGCAAATTTCAAGTGCTTCTTCCTTCAGTTTCCTTAAGTCTCACCCAAGTCTCTAAGCACAGAGTGGCTCTAGCTTCACTCTGGAGATGAGGAACTGGAGTTGGAATGGTTAAGTGGCAAGTTGGCCAAAATCATAGAGCCAGGGGACCAGAAGTAGGATATGCTGCCTAGCAGTTCTTTCTTTCAGAGCCTTCCTTTGTCCTTACAGCAAGGTCATCTCAAAAGGACCTCAATGTAAAGCTTCAGTCTGGACTTCATGGAGAGGATGCAGGAAGAGTAAGATCAGGTGTCAGCTGACATTGATCACAGATAATTATATCCCTGCCACACTGATCAGCAGTAGGTTTGATTCCTTTGTAGCCCAGTCCCCATTTCCTGTTTAGCTTGACATTGGCTTTGAGACTGTGTGGTCCAGGCTGGCCTCAAACGTGTGCTTCTCCTTCCTGCCTTCACCTCCTGAGTGTACAGGTGTGCAGCACACCTGGCTCTCACTCTTTTCCTGCAGTTTACCATGTGGTTTCCTCTCAGTGCTGAGGATGGGTTTACTCAAACTCAAGCCTGCAAACTGAGCTACCTATTAATAGAAGAAACAGGTGTTTCCCACAGCTGAGAATACTTAGGAATGTACCAACCACTTGTGTGATCACTAAAGCTTTGTGCTTGGGACACTTTGACTCCAGTCACATCTCACACACAGCGTCTGTCTGATATGAAGTATGGATATTTACAGTAAGCAAGAGGTTAAAAGCTGACCACCTCACAACACTGTATTTAAACTTATATTTAAAGTTTATGTGGAAAGACTGTCTTCCTTTTATATTTAAAGTTTAACATATTTAATGATGAAAACATAGATACTTATAAATACATTTCAGTTCCCCAACTGGCAGCTATGTGTGCTTGGACATGCCG